GCGTTCATGTTTTTTTTGGTGGGCTTTTTTACCCATATGAAAAATATAATTAAAAGGGTGCGGTAGTTCAGTAGTGCGTTCATATCCGCACCCTTTTTTTTTGTTTAAATTCCCTTATTACTTTAACCTCTGTAAAGGACTAAAAAGAGGAGGATAATTAAAAATTCTCGGTTCTTTTTTTCTTTTTCTGCTTACCCTTTTTCACTAGTTTTTCTGACTCCGTTTTTTCCTCGCTAATCGGATCAGTTTTTTCCTCGGAAATTTGTGTTAAATTTTCTGGCTTGCTTTCGTTATTTTTTGGTTGCCCCATATTTACCACTACATTTATCGCTTCTCGGGTTTTCTCTTTGGCTTTTTCGTTTAATTCATCCAATTTTGCAGATATTTTATCCTTAGCATTCCAGCGCGGTAATTTTACTCCGGCTCAATTTTCCAACATATCGGCTCCGATATTGTAAAGTCTCGGCACCACAAAAACTAAACCAATACCGATACTCATCAACCAAATTTCATAAGTCCATTCACCCATATTTCGGAGTAGCATTGCCCCGGTAGTAAACTGAATAGCCGAATTCGCCCTTTTCCCTCACTTTTCGCCCATTATTTCAGTGGTAAATCCTTGGACTGTGGAGGCAAATAAGGCTCAATTTTCTCTCCTCTTTCTATTTAAAATTTCTTGCTCTTTTTCTTTGATAGTTTCGTTTAGTTGGTTAATTTGTTCGCTAAGAGTTTTTATTTGTTCGTTCAAGTTTGTTTTTTCTGCTTCTAACTGGTTGATTTGTTGGTTTATCGTAATTCTTTCGCTGGATAGTTGATTGTGTTTTTTGTGTCAGTTGTCCCTTTCGCTTTTTACTTCGTTGTAGTTATTTTCTAGTGTTTCAATTTTCTTGTCTAAAATTTTTATTCTTTCGTTTAATTTTGCAATGGCAGTGTTTAACTCACCTTTTTCAATTTCTAGTTTTGAAAGTTGGGCGTCTTTTTGACCTATTACTGCTAATGTTTCGTTCATTCCTAGAAAAGCAGATAGTCTTTCTTTATCTTTTTGGTCGTAAGCTTTGGTTCACAATTCTATTTCTGCCCTCAATTCCTCAGCAGTTTTGTTGGCTCGATCGCTTTCATTTCTTAATCTTTCTATTTCCACTCTTTCGGCAGATTGGAGGGCATTTTTAATCTCTCTCGCTTGCTGTTTTAGTCTTTCCTCCCGTTCTTTTTATTCTTGGTTTCGTTTTTCAAATTTTTCTTTTAGATTATTTGCTTCTTGTTGTGCTGTGGATAGTTGTTTATTTTGTTCTTTTATTATTCCATCTAACTCTGTTATTTTGACTTGTGCTTCTCTTTCTTTATCAGTCATTAGTTCCTTTACTCTTATTAGAACTTGTTTACTGTTTTCTAATTCATGAGCTAGTTGATTTTGCTTTTCTGAAAAAGTGTTTAAGGAGAGGTCTACTAAATTATGTCTTTCCATTTCTTTTTCAACTATAGAAAAAAGTCCAAGAGTAGAAACATTCGCAACAAGACGAGCAGCATTGTTTGCAACAGTGTCCTTTTTTTTCCTTTCCTCGTCTATTTTTTTAATTATTTCTTTCTTTGTTTTTTCTTTATTTAAAATTCCTTTATCTGTTTGTATTAAATTACTGATTTTATTAATTTGTTTGTTAATTTCTTTTTCGGTTATTTGTTCTACTACTAGACACAAAATTTCCCTCTGTTTCACTGGCTCTTTCTTTCCCTTTATTCTTACTCCCAGAGGCGGCATTACTCCCCTCTGCTTGCGGGTTTAGGATTGGGTTTTTTTCGTCTGTCATAATATATTATTTTACAACTTGACAGCAAGAAATCGATTGAAAAAAGTTGTTAAGTAGTCAAGTATGGCAAAAACAAAAACCATTTTTAATTTTACAATAAAACAAGTAGACAAAAAAACTTATTAAACAAAATAGAAAGTGTAATATGATAGAAAAGAAGAAAAAAAGCAAGACGGCAGATAAAATGGTTTTTTCAATTCGAGTTTTCCCCCGCTTTCACCACGCTTTTAGATTAGAAGCCTTAAAAAGAAAAATCACTATGGAAAGTTTACTAAATCTTTACCAGGAGGCTTACGAGGAAAAATACGAACGAGAAAAAGCCGAAAAAAAAGCAGAACGAGAAGGTAAAAATTGTAAATCTTGCGGACAACTAATTATTAATTAAAAGCTTATGCCGACGCTCTATGAAGAATCAAGATTAGTTTTTACTTTCTATTCCTCTGATATGGATGAACCGCCTCATGTTCATGTTGAATACAAAGAGGGTGGAACTATGAAAATTTGGATCGCTAAAAAAGACCTGGAAATAGCCTGAGTTAGGGGAGGAATGCCCCGCTATAAGCAAACCGAAACCTTAAAAATTACCCAAGAAAAGAGAAAAATATTTTTAAATAACTGATATGAATTTAAGAAAACAGGAAAAATTAGAAAAGTCTAATTTTACTCCTAACATAAATTTTTTGAATGGGGAAAGAACCGAAATTTTTCCTTTGATAATTAAAGTAGAATGTAACCAGGAGGAAATAACTGCTTTTTTGGATGATGGACACAAAGTAAGTATTCCCGTTTCTTGGTATCCTCGTACTCGCCAAGCCACTTTATCCCAGTTGCAAAATTTTCGTATTACTTCTGATCACTATGGTATTCACTGACCGGAAATAGACGAACATTTAAGTATTCGGGCTTTTTTGAAAGGTTTATAATTGCTAACTTTTTTTATTAAAAACTTCCTAGTGGGTTTTACGCTTTTTGGTAAAACCCTGTTAAACCCATTTTGTAAATCCCCAGTAAAACCCATGCCTAGTATTAAAAATTTAATCCTAACTGGCTTTTATAAATAAATGCCATGCCTTACAAAGATAAATTTATAAAACGCGAATACTCCCGGGAATACATGCGAAATTACCGGGCTGGTAAAAAGGGTTTAACAGTTAAACCCGTTAAACCCAATCTGTTAAACCCTGCCCCCTTTGCCCCACCCTAAAAAAACAGCTAGCAAATTGCGAGCAGCAAATTCAAAATTTAGCATCCGAAAATCAGCAAATTTTAGTTGCCAAAGAAACTCTGCAAAAGCAACTTTCGGAATTAGAAAATAAACCAGTGAAAAAAGCATCCGAAAGTAAACCAAAAACACCCAAAAAAGTTGCCATTCGGCAACCCCAAGACCAACCTATAAAAGTAGACTGTGCGGAATTAGAAAAAGAAACCGGACTAAAAAAAGACTGAAAAAACCCAGCTTGGAATAGAGCTTGGAAAAATGCTTATAATAAAACCTCTATTGCCCGCGAACAGAAGCGGCTGTGAAGGAGGAAAAACCAAAAAAATAAGTAAAAAAGTAATTAAAAAATGAGTATTTCCAGCCAACAGAAAGACCAAATAATTAAAAAATTTTTCTTACTCTGTGATAATTTTTTACCGGAAAAAAAAGTTAAAAAAAATATCCCAATATTTTTCCAAGACCAAAATGTCCAAGGTCGAACGCTTTATAATTTTGCTGAAAAAAAGTTTACTATTTATTTTTGAAACCAAGATTATAAAAGTTCCGATTTTCTTTTGAAAGTGGTGGCTCACGAGTTCGCCCATGTTATCTTTTTTTTGAGTCAAGGCGAACATATCCATAGCCTACTTTTTTTCTCTTATGTGAGGACTTTCTACGACTGACTAAAAACTAAAAATTAATAAAATTAATCATAATCATGAATAAGGAAATTCAAGAAATTAAAAAGCAATTGGATAGAATAGAGGCTATAATTAGCGAAAAACCCGAAGCCAAAATTTTGACTAATACTAATATTGATCTAAATAAACGTTGTTCTTGTGGAGCTTTAATGATTTTAACTGATAATAACCCCCGCTGCCAAGGCTACAAATGCCCGCAATGCGGTAGTATGGAGTTTGTTTCTACTAATCTTTAAAAATTAAGATAATTACTAATTATGAATAATAACGAAAGAAAGTGTCCTAGTTGTAAGGGAAAAAATGCGATAGTTGATTCAAGAGATAAGCATTGAGACGAAAGATTACTTTGTGCTGAATGTTGTGCTAAAGCCCATAATTGTAGCGAATGTTAAAGGAGTTGAGACAATTGAGTTAATGGTTAAAATTTTCTCCAAATTTCAACCCCAATCATTAACCTTTAATTATCCTATAATTACTCCTCCCAAATTCTCCCAAAAATAACGTTTTATTTCTGAAAGAAGCCGTAAAAATTTAAACGTTATGAGATATTTGGGATCGAAATGGGTTACCCGTTTGTATTGTTTTGGATTTTCTTTAATAGTTTTGACAGGTGTTTCTTTTTCGACTTTGACTCTAGTATCAACAGATTTGTCTGATATATTTTCATCAATTTGTGTTGCTTTCTTGGGTTTGGGTATTGCCGCGATTATGTTTTCTCGTTCACAGCAAAAAAAAGAACTTCCGTTTTTATCATTAAGCGAAAACGATCAAGAAGAAATACGCAAACGATCCCGAATTCTTAATGTTTTTAGATTTGTGTTTTTTCTCTTTGCTCTTGTGGGTGCTATTTTGGGAGCAACGGGAACAGTGCATGAGGAATTAAGCATGCTCAACAAGATAGGAGCTAATATTCCCATTTTTGGGCTTATTGGTGAAAGGTCAGCCGACTATGTAAAGACAAAAATTCCAGAAGAAGAAATTCATGAATTTCAAAATTTAGTATAGTTGTTGATTAATTATTTTGTTATCTCTACACATACCCCCTTTTCAAATACTTTCTTACCACCTTTTTCCTTTCCCTACCTATTACTCCGTAATACTTATTTTTCACACACCCTAAACAAAGCACCTTTTCACTCACTTCCAACC